GCGCAATATATCCGATAGACTTCGTCAAGAGTGAAATCATGGTTCAACTTGCTTACGAACTCCTACGTACAAGCCTGCAACTACTCAGTTAAGAACGAACATTACCAGAAATAAAATTGTCGCACACAACAGCGGAACATATCTCACATTTCTACTGCAATCCGCAGTATAGATCTGTCTATTTGATCAACTTTAATAGTCTCTTTCCGTCTTCGATATAGTCCCATAGACTTTGAAGACTAATATTTACGAGGTTACGATGTTCATGTTACATGTCATATATATCTATCTTTTTATCTATATATAATACATCTATATATAAACCGTAGCTATTTGCTTCTTCCCACAGCTGCGTGGCCGTGCACCTACACACACAGCAATTAAACATTGTTGTGAAGCGTGTCTGCTAAGTTCACAACGCGTCCACCCCTCACCGCGTTCACTTGTTTACACATGTTCGTGATGTGCGATGACGTCACTACTGCAGTGGGAGAATCCTCGGCAGATCCACAGCGGCTTTATTGCAGCTCTGCCTCCGGTTGGGTTAATACACTGAACATTGCTCCGTACATTACTCTATAACATGGACACCTGACTAATTCGCTATAACCAATTGTTCAACTTTTGCCTAACACAGTGCGCGCGCATGCGCAATATCTCCCGAGAGCAATCGTATTTTGCAAAGATTATGCATTTAAAATGAAGAGGAGTTATCCTAGCATAGATTTATATAATAACATTCCATCAGTAGACATCATTTAAGAAATAAGAGGAAGGCCTTGCATGTAAGGTCATCGCTGCGTATACCAGCCAGTACACAATCTGGCTACGTTAGTGTGTTAGCGCATGCGCAATATCTCACCAGAGGAGTTACATTTTGTGATGAATATGCATTTAAAATGGTTAGGGGGTATCTCAGCATAGATTTCCCTAATAAACTTTTATCAGTATAGACCTGTGTTTATAATTAGGAGAGCGCCCTATCATGTAGGGTACAAAACACCTACTTTATGCCCTCACGTCCTTCTCCTTGCATCTCCTGTCCCTCGCTCAGCCTCCTTCTTCAGCTACCGCCCCCAGCTATCTTCCCTGCCGCCTTTCCTCAGTCCCCCATTCCCTCTCTCCCTCAGCAAGCTATATTATGAAGTTTTCCTCAGGCGGCACTGCACGCCTATAACACGGTGCGCGCGCATGCGCAACATCTCCCGAGAGCAATCGTATTTTGCAAAGATTATGCATTTAAAATGAAAAGGAGTTATCTTAGCATAGATTTCGATAATAACATTCCATCAGTAGACATTATTTAAGAAATAGGTGGGAGACCTTGCATGTAAGGTCCTTGCTGCGTATACCAGCCAGTACACAATCTGGCTACGTTAGTGTGCTAGTGCATGCGCAGTATCTCACCAGAGGAGTTGTATTTTGTGATGAATATGCATTTAAAATGGTTAGGGGGTATCTCAGCATAGATTTCCTTGATAAACTTTTATCAGTAGTCCTGTGTTTAGTAGGAAAAACGGATAATTTCATAACAAAAGAAATAGTTAAACAAGGAACTATATTACCCCCGTATAATACCCTATATAATACCCCCGTCACACTGGACGGCGACCATCCGCGACCGTACGGCGACCAGAAAATGTACAAGGTCGCCGGCAAACGCGAACACAACGCGAGAAAAGTTACAAACTTGAAAAAAAACCGCG